ATATATATATATATATATATATATATATATATATATATATATATATATATATATATATATATATATATATATATATTGGTTCAAATGAGAACAGGGTTTCCCGTGCAGTCGGTGCAGTTTACACCATTAGGTATGCATAAATACAACACACATTGTTCGAAAATACATCCGAATGAAATGCCACAAAATACACCACACACAAACAAAAAATACACCACACATAATGGTGTATTTTGAACACTGTGTGGTGTATTTATGCATACCTAATGGTGTAAACTGCATCGACTGCAAGGGAAGCTCAGTTCTCACAAGAACCTAACCATATATATATATATATATATATATATATATATATATATATATATATATATATATATATATATATATATATATATATATATATAAAGAGAGAGAGAGAGAGAGGTGAGAATCCACCCGAACTCACCTTGCATGGTTGATTTTTTTTTTTTTAATTTTTTTTTTAGTTGGTGGTGGGTTAAGTTGAGTTTTTTTTTTTTTTTTTTTTTTTTTTTTTTTTTTTTTTTAACACGTTAAGGTGAGTTTTAGAAATTAAACATGTAGTGAGTTAGGTAGGGTGCATGTTTTATATACAAAACTCACAAAGAATTTCACTCGACTCAATATGTGTGCGTGTTTATTTATGTAATTAATTAATAGTAATAATAACATAAAGAGCCACCTTTTAAATGGAAGTCTAACCCGGGTACTATTAGACCACATAGTCTTAATCTAAATTTTAGTAGTTAGTATTTCTAAAAGTCTACAATAACTCTAATTTACGTTAAATTTTAATTTTTTAAAATTCTAAGCAAATACATTTAAATTTCGTTTGAAAATTCGAAAAATGACTTTCTGAAGTCATTTTTTTGAATTTGTCAATGTTTAATTACTCAAGAAAAATGAAGTCAAAAAAAGAATCATTATGATCAATAGAAGAAATGTATAATTTGACTGAATATGTCTTTCTAGTTTTTTAGTCGAAGACATATTCTAAATTCTTTATTTTAGTTCCATCTCTCTTTCCTATATTCTATTTTAAGTTAATTTTCGGGGTATTATTATTACCACCACCACAACCACCAAACCACCACAATCACCACCAACACAATCACAACATCACCATCACCATCACCACCACCACCACCACCACCACCACCACTGTCGCAAACACCACTACCACATATTATTATTATTATTATTATTATTATTATTATTATTATTATTATTATTATTATTATAACAAATAATAATATGTTCATTTTCAGAAAAATGAATCAAACAGAAAAAGATAATTTTTTAACATTCAGTCAAACACCAGAAAATATTTAAATTCATCATTTTCTTAAAATCATTTTTTGAAAAATATTTCTCAAGTTTCTAAACGTAGCCTTGTTTTTACAAACAAAACAATTTAGCTATATACACTACAAAAAACTATCTTTTTACCGACATACATTTAGCGGCGGTTATATATAACCGCCTCTAAATGAGTATTTCGCGGCATTTATAACAACCGCCTCTAAATTTTGTACTAAAATTTAAAAACTTAAACCACGATAATTTGATGCGTATTTTAGTGGCGGTTATATGACCGCCGCTAAAACTCAAATTAAAAAATATATATTGAAATGGTTTTATTCTTCAACAGCTCGTTTCTCCCAAATTCTCCCAAACTCAAATTCCACAATTCTTCAACCGCTGGTTTCTTTTATAAGCTGAGACTGTCCAATCCTTCCTAAATCTCAAATTCAATCGCTCGTGTGTCTCAATCTCAAATTGTCCAATCCTTCCTAAATCTCCAATACCTGAGATTTCTAGAACACGAGGAAGCTGACTATGGAGTTCTCTACTGAATTCGATTACTGAATCGTTCATTCAATTCCCAATTCTTCAACAGTCGACAGAGTTCGACGGAGTTCATTCAATTGTTCATTGGATCAGACAACGGAGTTCAAACACGAGGAAGCCCAAGCCGACGGAGTTTGATTTCTTGTTCGTCGCTGCCGGAGTTCAATTCCAAAATAGTTTGATTACGTTCATTCAGTTTGCTGCTCAGTTTCACTTCCGATACATTTTGCTGCTACGGTAACTGTACTAGTCTACTCCTTTACAGTTTGCTGTTGTTCAATTACTACTTTACTACTACAATATATTTGAATATTGTATCTAACAAATGGATATATGTAGTTTTCAAAAAAAAAAAAAAAAAAAAGGATATATGTATGTATAGAATTGAACCTGGAATTGTGTTAGTTATAATTTGGACACATTTCTGATCCCTTAACCCTAATCCCTCATAGGCCAAATTGTATAGAGTTGAATTTTGGACATTTGATTTGAGGGCACTTGAAATACTTGTGTTTTAATGAATTGGTTTTACCATCAAATATTGTAGTTATACACATTATGATGCTTGAAATCTGCAAAGAAATTAAATAATAAAATAAAATTTAGAAAGCAACAGAGGAAAAATAAGGGAGGCTTAAGAAGGATACAAGAATAATACTTTAGTATAAAGAGGCAAAGACAAAGCTCCTGCCAAGCGCCAAGCTTAAATGAATAATACTCTGGTCGTGTTGGACTTGATAGCTGAAAGAAGGAGCCACCGAGAGGCCATTCCCGACCAGGTAAGCCGAGAGAAGGTTAGCTTCCTCCTGGCCTTGATAGAATGGTGGGAGAGAAGTATAGAGAGTGATAACCCTTTGAAATAAGTTGAAAAACACTTTGACGGCAGTTAAAATGGCAAACCCTTAGTCCTTATTAGTTGTTTTGAGATTATTGAAAGGGGCTTACTTTAAAAGTGTTTATTTTAAACTGATTATCAAAACTGGGCCTAAATCCTATAGTTGCATAACCAATGAGCTCTCAAGAGCTTGAAATGAGTTTAGATATGATTGGCAATCTTTTTGATTTTTTTCGTTGTTTGTAGTTGGCAATTGCTTAAGCATTTGTTCCAAACAGAACAATCAGATGGGGTTTTGGTCATATTTAGTATATACACATTATCCTTTGAAGTTATCTGTTGTCTGTTGAATATGACTAAAATTAGACTTACCATCATCAACCCTCATCCTCACTTCATCACAGCCTATTCGTAGAAAGTAGCAAAGGAAGAAGACATTGCAAATCAGAGCCTAATCGTAGAAAACAGCAGAAGGAAGAAGACATTGCAGCATATTTTTTCCAGGTTCTCCTATTCTATATCCTCTCTCTCTCTCTATATGCATATATTTTTGTTTGTATCTAAATTCTGATTAAGATTTGCACTTTTTTCATTTTTAAACTACATTTATTCAGAAGGATTAGTAAATCATTTCTATGAATTCCTATCTTTTGCGCGAAATTTCAGTGAGCTGCCGATTTGTTTTTGAATTTTGAGTGTCAATCTCGCTAATTTCTATCCTTTAGCACAACTATTATATTTATTAGAGGAATAAAAATAATTCTATAGAAACACACATCTGTTAGATAGATTTGGAACAAATTATCTTGAGGATAGTATTGCTGCAGGAGAATGCAAAATTTTGCATTCTCCTTAGGGTAGCAAGTCCATTGCTTTCTCAATTGGCAACATAGTGTTTCCCTAATAATAACTTCCTGGAATGGAGTTATTAATACTTTTTTTTGAATGCAATGGAGTTATTAATACAAGTTCTTTGTGTATGTATTTGGTGTAATATATTTACCAGGTAATTCTTATATTCTCTTATAGTCCTATCTATGAGATTCTGTACATTATCATGTGCACTATTGTTTTTCACCCTTTATTTGTGTTGATGTTAAAAATTTGATCAATTGAGCTATTTGTTTTAATTTTAGCTCTTTCTATTGAATGCTTTGAGTAAGCGATAAACTCATTAAGATTCTGATGAAATTTGAACATTTTGAAGTCATTTATCCATAAGCTTATTTTATTTTATTTTTAATTGAAAAAAGATTTGTCATTTATCCACAAGCTTTTTTATTTTATTTTATTGAAAAGAGATAAATCATTTGTGTTATTAGGTTTAGAATGCAGTACCTCTGGAGCAGCTCTCTCTCTCTGTCTCACACACTTTAGGGAGGATTTCAGCTCTCTATAAATGCAGGGCTTGAGGACAACTGATATGGAAGGTTCCATATATCTCAACCTCTAATTTCTAGGTTTCCTAATATATAGGATTCTCAATATCACAGAATATTCTATAACAATTTGGTACTCCATGCAATTTTTAAAACTATTCAGACTTATTCAATAGACTTTTCAATTAATTAGATCTTCAAGTTGGAAACAGAAACATGTAATGCATAAAGGTGATGTAATAGAGAAGTACAATTTTGTTAGGGCACATGTCCTAACACTAGTCTTCTCAAAAGTGTATAGTAGTGGAAAAGAAGAACAAATTTAAGAAATGGTGATCTTATCAAGCTTCTATTTGATTGTGATGTAAAAATTCTCAGTATAGTCCAACTTTTTTCCCATTTGATCATTTACAATATCAACATTTATTTCTTTCTCATACGCTAATTATATGCTTTGTTATTCTGTTTGTAGCTTTGTTTTTGCCTGACTGCCTATTGAATATTCTGATTTATTTTTAACACTTGACTAAACATGCACTACAACAAATTATTTGTGAAGTGTTAATCTGTGTTGTTTTAGGTGGAATACTCAATATTGCTTCGCCTTCTTTTTCTCTCCCCTTGTGGTAAAGCAAACATGGTGATTCGTGGAGGAGAAACATCACTATGAAGTGAACCAGAGCTGGCACACCTGCAACCCCAAGGATCCATCTCCATCTCTCAGGTGCCAATACTTTTTGTTTTCTTTCCTCAGTTTAACTTTTCTACAGGAGTGATCTACTTTGGTGACAATCCATCTTTCTTTCTCTTTGTAGATCTTGTATGCTAAATTACTAAAGTTTGACAAATCTTCATATATATAGAGATTATGCATGGATAAATCTTGGGTTAATTTGTCGCGAAATACTTTGGAATATATGGAAGGGGTAAACAAATTAATTGATTTTGCAATTAAGCATAGATGTATTGAAGGAAGAATATTGTGTCCTTGCGTGAAGTGTAAATTTAGGTATTGGTTATATAAATTTGACGTGAAAGAACATTTAATTTGTGATGGGATTGTACCTGGATATGTTCATTGGATTTGGCATGGTGAAGGGGGATCTTTAGACACTTCTAGTAGCACTCCTAATGTTGTGCCTACTAATGTGCAAATTGAGAATCCTGAAGTAAATATCATTCATGATGCTTTTGCACATATTTTACATGGTATAAATGAGCCTTCAACATCACAACAAACACTACTTGGGGATGGAGTATTACCTAGAGAGGATAGTGAAGACAGTAAAATATTTTATGAGTTGCTCAAAGATGGAAATCAAGAGTTGTATGAAGGGTGTAACAAGTACTCAAAATTATCATTTTTGTTAAAGTTGTACCACATCAAGTGCTTGGGTGGAATAAGCAATAAAGCAATGTCTATGATTTTTGAATTGTTAAAAGATGCTTTTGAACAAGCAAGGCTTCCTGATTCTTTCTATGAGGCAAAAAAAACCATCAATAGACTTAGTCTTAATTATGTTAGCATTCATGCATGTCCAAATGATTGTATGCTATACTGGGGAGATGATAAAGCTACAGAAACATGCAAAGTATGTCATACTTCAAGATGGAAACAACCAAACGGGAAGAATGGTGGTGATGTGCGTTGTGGTAGAAAGTTTAAAAAGAAACCTTCTAAAGTGTTGCGTTACTTCCCTCTTAAGCCTAGGTTGCAACGGTTGTTTATGTCTTCTAAAACTGCTGAATATATGAGATGGCATGCTATGGATATTAACAAAGATGGGTTGATGCGACATCCTAGAGACTCTGAATCATGGAAGCGATTTAATGAAGTCCATGTAGAATTTGCTGTTGACCCACGAAATGTAAGACTTGGGTTAGCTGCGGATGGTTTCAATCCATTTGGACATCAAAGTTCTACACATAGCACTTGGCCTGTGATTTTAATTCCTTATAATTTGCCTCCATGGATATGTATGAAACAAACCTCATTTATTTTGTCTATGATTATTCCTGGGAAAAAGATGCCAGGGAATGATATAGATATTTACATGCAACCATTGATTAAAGAGTTAAATGAGTTGTGGAGTTTTGGAATAGAAACATTTGATGCTTCACAGGGTCAGTTTTTTAAACTACATGCAGCTCTAATGTGGACAATTAGTGATTTTCCTGGGCTAGGTAACTTATCTGGGTGGAATACACATACAGGGCTAGCATGCCCCTCATGCAACTTTGATTTTTTGCCAAATCGCCTTCCACATAGTAGGAAGTGGTGTTTTATGGGTCATCGTCGGTTCTTAGGGTCTTCTCATCGGTATAGACATCACAACTCTAAATTTGATGGAACCAAAGATTTGAGAAGTCCGCCAAAGATGTTGTCAGGTTCAGATGTTTTGAATCAGCTTGCAGATATCAATATTACATTTGGGAAAAACCTAGAAATGACTGAGAAGGGGAAAAGATCACGAGTGAGAAGAGTTGAAGATGGTGATACGCAACAATGGAAGAAGAGAAGTATATTTTTCCAACTCCCTTATTGGGAATTCAATTTGTTGCACCACAACCTTGATGTCATGCATATTGAAAAAAATGTTTTTGACAATGTGTTGTTTACTTTGCTAAATGACGCTGCAAGATCAAAAGATAATCTAAATGCTCGAATGGATTTAGTGTCAATGGGTATAAGAGATGACCTTTGGCCTAATGAAAATGGAAAATACTCTCCAAGTTGTTTTACAATGACAAATACAGAAAAAGATGTATTTCTTGCAACACTAAAGAGTGTATTACTGCCAGATGGTTACTCAAGTAATATTTCAAGATGTGTTGATTTGAAGAATCGCAAGATACATGGATTGAAAAGTCATGATTGTCACATTCTTATGGAACATCTATTGCCAATTGCCATACGTAATCTATTACCAGATCAAGTTTGTATGGTTTTGGTAGAATTGGGTTCTTTTTTCAGACAAATATGTAGTAGAGTATTAAATGTCAAAGAGCTTGATAACCTTCAAAGTCGACTTGTGCTAACATTATGCCATATGGAAATGATATTTCCACCATCATTTTTCACAGTAATGGTGCATTTAGTTGTTCACCTTGTTGATGAGGTTAAGCTTGGAGGTCCTGTTCCATACCGATGGATGTACAGCATTGAGAGGTGAGTAAATTTTGGATATTTAAAGTTTTCTTTATTAGATTATCGATAAATGCACCTACTAATGTCTTATTTCTATATATTTAGGTACTTAGGACATTTGAAGTCTTTTGTACGCAACCGAGCAAACCCAGAAGGTTCTATAGCCGAAGGTTATATTGCTGAAGAATGTCTTACATTTTGCTCAAGGTATTTAGAAGGTGTTGAAACAAGGTTCAACCGATCTAGGCGTGTTGATGATGTGCCATTTTATGCTGAAAATATTCAAAGCAATATCTTCAAACAAATTGGTCGACCAGTAGGCAGTGTTTCAACTTTCCAACTAACTGATATAGAGAAACAACAAGCACATCGATATGTGCTAATGAATTGCAAACATGTTGACAAATACGTTGAGTAAGTAACATCCAAAATTATGTATTTTGGTGAGAAATAACATATTATTTCAATTGTTACAAATGTGTTGTTATCACATACAGGGAATTTACAGTTTTAACGAAGAGACGACTAAGAAGGCGGACGAGATCTTCTGCTGAGATTCAAAAAATAGTTAATAGAGATTTTTCCAATTGGTTTGCAAAGAGAGTAAGAATTTCACCTCAAATCAATATTTTACTTCAAAATTAATTTATTAATACAATATCACTATGTTTTAGATCCTAAATAATGACAATCAAGAGCAAGTGTCAGATGACATTATGTTTTTAGCAAGAGGTCCACTTACTCATGCTAGAAGATTTTCTTCATATAACATTAATGGTTTAAGATTTCAAACAGTGAACCGAGAAGAAGGACTGAAGTCTCAAAATAGTGGAGTATTTGTTATTGCTGGAACTCCAAGTGTTGCAAGTAGTCGTGATACTCATGGGGTTTTTGGAGATGTTGCTTATTATGGAAAATTTGTTGACATCATTGAACTCAATTACTACAGCAAATTTGTGGTTACACTATTTAAGTGTATATGGGCTGATACGACTACTCCAAGAGGGATAAGAAGAGATCATTATGGCTTCACCGAAGTTAACTTCTCTAGAACAATACATGTTGGAGATAGTATAGATGATGAACCATATGTGTTAGCTGAACAAGCTCAGATGGTGTTTTATGTCACTAATGAGATGGAGAAAGATTGGAATGTTGCAATACCTTTCAAACCAAGAGACTTTTTTGACATGGGTGAAAATGCTGACAGTAGCGTATATGATTGTACTTCAATCTCAAGTGAAAACCAAAATCCTGTGGTTTTAAATGAGATTGAAAATTTGCAGTTAACAAGAGAAGAACTAAATGATGAAATAACCACTGTTGTTGATAGTGGAATTGAAAGAGCAGATAATGATTAAATTGTACAGGTCAACATGCTTGCTTTCCTAGAGCTTTGCTTTTTTTCTTCTTATTTTTTGTTCATTTCTGTTTTATTCTTTGAGATCACTAACCCTTGAACTGAATTCAAACTGAAATTTGTTTTTTATTTGATGTGTAGGTATGCTAGAGTAGAAGAACTCACTCGATTATGCAAATAATCTACTTTCTTCCAAGTGGCAAGGTATGCATCAAATTACATACTTCGATTAGTCTAGTGCAGCCGTGCATGGTGGTTATAAACTGATTATGTATGTGTGTTTCTTCATGATACAGGGTTTTATAGTTGGTTCTATATCTGGTATTTGCAGATTTTATGAACAGGATATGCTATTTTCATTCAAGGTTGTCTTGTTTTCTGTTCCTTTTTGACGTTTTGTTTCTGAACCTCTATGTTCTGATCTTTATATATCTTCCAACTGTTTCTGAGTAATCTTCTCAAGTTTGTTTATTCTGTGATTGATGATAAATAGTGTCTTGTATTGGAAGTACATGCAGTTCAGCCAAGGGTGATTGGCTTTTAAGTTCGGGATAAAACTTTTCGGGTGATTAGCTATTAAGTTTGGGGTTCAAATTTATGTATTCAAAGTACTGTATTTTGTGATTAAATACAAATAAATCATGCTTGACTGTGTAAAAAATGTACTGTAGGTTTTTGCAGGTGGATTCATATATATGTGGAGAAGCTGAAAATATACAATAGAAACATGGTTGCAGGTGTTTATGTTGCAAGAGAAGCTGGAAGAGAAGGATATGAAAATTAGAAGGATAAAGAAAGAGCCACATGAGGAACCCATCACTACAGAGGAGATGAATGAGCTCTCTTCTGATGTAAAATTGCCACCAATGAGCTTGGATGTTGAATTGATTTTCTTTTAATATGTAAGCTTCTTTGAATATTGTTAGACATTAATATTTGGCAATACAAGTTACATTTGATTTTCATCTAAATTAAATGTGTATTTATTTGTGTTTGCAATGCACATATGAAAGTAGATGTTTCCAACAAAAAAAAGTAATTTAATAACAATTATAAATTTTAGTAGCAATCCCTATTAGATGAGAAAATACAAAAAAAAAAAAAAAAAAAAAAAAAAAAAATTAGCGGCGGTTTTAAAACCGCCGCTAACATTTACCCAAAAAATATTAAATAAACATCAGCGGCGGTTTAAAAACCGCCGCTAACACTTAAAGTAAATTTTAAAGAAAAATTAGCGGCGGTTCGAAAACCGCCGCTAAATGCATTTAAAACCATAAATATTAAATAAATATTAGCGGCGGTTGTAAACCGCCGCTAAATGCATTCAAAACCGTCGCTAAATAAATTTGTCATGAATTCCCGCGGTTGTAGAAAACCGCCGCTAAATGCTTCGCGACACACTATTTAGACACGGTTGAATAACCGCCGCTAAACACACTAGTGGCGGTTTGGAACCGCCGCTAAACGCAAAAAAATCGCCGCTAAATGCCTGATTTGGTGTAGTGATAGTTATTATACATTTATGCTTGAATACTTTTATTATTTTGTGTTTTAACCTAACTTGTGAATTTTAATGTGTAATTAAGTTAAATATTATTTACTTTTTCACTTTTAAAGTAAAAATAGTACGGAGTAATATTTAACTTATTTACACTCAATAAAATTCAATTAAAACATAAAATAAAATTTCATAATGGATACTTATACAATGAAGTTGCAGACGTTATGCCATGGAACCTTGTTCACCATTCATGGTGAACACGGTTCCAACGGTGTTAGTGCACCGTTATCTTTTTTTTTTTTCTTTTTTTTTTCTTTTAATTAATTACGTGACTGCCTACGCATTCACTTTGGAACCATGCCTACACATTCACTTTGGAATCATGAGATTATGAATTTTCTGTTATGAGATTATGAATTTTCTGTTATGAGATTATGAATTTTCAGTTATGAGATTATGAATTTTCTGTTATGCGATTATGAATTTTCTGTTATGAGATTATGAATTTTCATTACATTCATAATTTCGGAGTTTCGGACATTCATAAATTATGAATTCATGCATGCACATTCACTTTGGAACCATGCCTACATATTCCCGTCCGAAATCACGGACATTCATAAATTATGAATCCATGCCTGCACATTCACTTTGGAACCATGCCTACACATTCACTTTGGAACCATGAGATTATGAATTTTCTGTTATAAGATTATGAATTTTCTGTTATGAGATTATGAATTTTCAGTTGTGAGATTATGAATTTTCTGTTATGCGATTATGAATTTTCTGTTATGAGATTATGAATTTTCATAAAATTCATAATCTCATAACAGAAAATTCATAATTTGATCAGTAACGCGCCGTTAACTCCACATCCGCGATTTTTTTTTTTTTTTTTGCCTAAAAATGACGTCGTTTTGACTTGTGTTCACCATTCTCGGTGAACACGATTCCACGGCATAATTTGCGATGAAGTTGGGGGTGGGTTTTGAAATGTTTTACCCATGCCAAGTTGGGATGAGGGTTGATGGAAAAAGTATAAGGCTGAGTTGGATAGTGGATCTTGAATTCTTGACCCATTGACATCCCAAATATTGAGTGATAATGTGTACATGGATGAATATTGAGTTGATAATATATATATATATATATATATATATATATATATATATAAAGTTTATATAATATTGTAGATGTACTACGGATTCATTAAATTGTACACAATAAAGTAGGATTAATTTGTTGGGCTTGTTTATTAAATTTTACATAATATAGTAGAGTACATTTCAAAAGTTACAATTAAATCTTGCTTGCATTGTCATAAGAAATAATTGATTTATTTTCAAAAAAAAAATAAAAAAATAATTGATTTGATGCTCGTATGGGTTTAGCTCATTGATTTAATAAATTGCTGAACCATTGAGTCACCTTGATTTATATCTTTTTAAATACTTAGTTCGGCCGGAGTGTAGGAGTTTTTGGAGTTAGAGATTCAATTTTTTGAAAGAAGTGATCTTTGGGGTTGAAAATTCAACATTTTGGGAGAAGAAATAATTGATTTGGAGCTCCAACTCATTTATTATTATTATTATTATTACTATTATTTTTTAAATTGAGAAAAGTTCAAAAGAGATGCTCTCTTTCCATGGCAAACCCAATTGGCAGCACCCCTCTGCAACTTAAGACAAGTGTTCACATTTTAAACTAACTCATGTACAATTAACCCATTGTTTATTCCTGGCCCCCCACCCCCACCCCACCCCTACCCCACACACAAATGTCTCTTCTTGTCTTATAATTAGACCATGAAGCTGATGCATGCCACCACAGCACACCATTCCAATGGCTTCTGCTGTTTTGCTTATATTAGCTTCCTTCCTTTGATAAACCAGTTTAGAAGAAAAAGAAGATTATGAAGATGATGATGACCCTTTTCTTGATTCTATATTCTGCTCATTCTCCCAGTCCACTCTATTTCTCTCTTTCACCTTCCAACTAACCCAAAATCTTTCAAAAAAACAGTCAATTAAACCAAGAATTATTATTGCATCAAATAAATAGAAAATTTGCTGTTGTGAGTGGGAATATATGGAGAAATCTCCTCCTTCTTCATCTCTTTCTTCATCATCTTCATGCATTGAGCCCAACAATGATTCTGCCATGCCTAAGCCAGACACCCAGACTGGGCACAAACGCTCCAGAGCCAAGAAAGCTCCCAATCCTGCCCCTACTGCTGCCAGAAAAAGCTCCATTTACAGAGGGGTAACGAGGTAATTCAAATGGGAATTCTATTTAAAATTTTGATTTTTATTTCCTTTTTTCTAAATCCCCTTTAACTGGTTTTATGATTTTTTTATTTTTTTATTTTTTTTTATTTTTTAAATTCTGATGTTTTGACACTTCTGATTGCATGCATGAATATTATTTTTGTAAATTTTTTATTTTTTCTTTAATGGGTTTTGTGAAGTTTTAATTTTGCCTATGATGTTTTTGTCACTTTTGATTGCATGCAAGAAATTTAGTTTCGTTAATTTTTAATTCAAATTTAAAAAAAAATTTAGGCATAGGTGGAGTGGGAGATATGAAGCTCACCTATGGGACAAGAATTCTTGGAATGGCAATAAGAGCAAGAAGGGAAAGCAAGGTGAATTTGCTCTTCTCTTTACAATTTTTTTTTTATAGGGAAAATCAATTAGATCTGCAGTATTAATTTATTAATTTAATTAAATATTGATTAGTTAGTAATTAATTGTATCTAACCCCTACTGACATTTTCTTTTTCTGTTCTTGGGACTATCATTTTCATTTGGACTGCCCACCATTGCCTCTGTTGCTCTTTTAGTTTATTTGGGTAAGTTAAATCCTGCATTTGATTATTTTTTGGAAAATTACTATATGTACCAATGTTTTTTACCATATAATAATGTGACTTGTAACACGTATCATTATGTATTACACGAAACTACATTATATATATATATATATATTTTTTTTTTTTTTGTGAATAAACTACATTATATATGGTATAAGATTTGTTGAAATTTTTGGTTCAGTAGGCAGTATTTGAGTTAAGATTCGGTGAAATTTTTGGCTCAGTAGGTAGTATTAGAGAGAAAAGACCAATATTCAAAACTTGTGGCAGCAATGTTGAGATTATGCCCAAAGTGGCAAATCCCTTGTGTACCAACCAACATTTGGCCCTGTCTGTTAAGTCATTAAGTCAATGTGATTTATATCCTCTCAGATATTTTGTCGGGCTGGGATGTGGGGCTCTTGGGGTTGGGGATTCAACATTTTGAGAGAATATTTGGTGAAATTTTTGGTACAAGTAGCAACGAAGGCTATTTTGTGACTTTGGCGTAACTTTTTTTAAATAATTAACAAAAAAATTTGTTGAATGCAGGGGCATATGATAGTGAAGAGGCTGCTGCAAGAACCTATGATCTTGCTGCTCTTAAGTACTGGGGACCTAAAGCCACAATTAATTTTCCGGTAATTAAAAATCTAGAATTGTTGTTTTGGGAATCTTGGGTACTTAATTGCAAAGTTAATTAGCTCAGAATTTATATTCATCATTTTTGCCAAAAAAAAAAAAAAAAAAAAAAAAGAGTTGTGGTTTTAACTAAATTATAGGTTGAAACATACAGCAAAGAGCTTGAGGAAATGCAGAAGTTGTCTAGAGAGGAGTTCCTGGCTTCGTTAAGGCGACAGAGTAGTGGGTTCTCTAGAGGCGTTTCTAAGTACCGTGGTGTCGCGAGGTAAAACTGTACTATATGTTAGTTGTTTCCTTTTTAGAACATAGTGTACAAATCAACATACACTAGTTCATTTATCATGTTTTTAGGTTACCGTGGTTGTTGAGTGGGACCCGTGCCGGTCTGAGTTCATTACGTATGGAGTGTGACTGACTTTAGTTGTTACGTTAGGGGAGATTCTTGTATAGTTCTGGGCTCTAGTACAATTTTGCCAGTCTGGATTCACTATATATAGAATGTGACGTTAGTTGTTACGTTAGGAGAGATTCTTGTATAGTTCTAGGCTCTAGTACACTTTTGTCCGTCTGGATTCACTATATATAGAATGTGACTTTTGTTGTTATGTAAGCAGAGGTTCTTGTATATTTTTGGACTCTAGGTTCACTATATATGGAACGTGAACTTTTGTTGTTACGAGTTTTGGACTATATATAGTAGACCACTCTAGTAGACCCCATGCCGGTACGAGTTCACTATGTATAACATGTGACTTTTAATTTGTTGTTACATCAGGTAATTATTGTATATATACTTTGGGACTCTAGTAGAGTTATTCACCACAAAAATGTTATTGGAATCGAACGTGTTTGAAAAAAACTTGATTTCAACTATGGTCGAAGAAACTCACATCCATGTATAGTTGAATTGATCATTAGGATCATGTGGATTTCATGACTTAATTATTTCTCCAAGCTGCTAAAGCCATTACTGACACAGACAATTCGATTTTGACAGGCACCACCAAAATGGTAGATGGGAGGCAAGAATAGGACTTGTCTATGGTAGTAAGTATCTCTACTTGGGAACATACGGTACGTCTACTATACATACATACAATTCATAACTCTATCTATTATAGTTGATGTTAGTAATGCTTTAGAGCTGATCGAGCTCGTTTCTATCTTTCTCGCTCTAGATTTTTTTTTTATTTTTTTTGCTGAATTTGCGATGAATGTAATCTTGACTCCATTCTGGTTTAAAGAACTAAAAAGCAGTGACTTGCATTATTTCGCGGTGACTCATCGTGTCATCAACGAATCCAGGATTCAAATAATATCACCCGGGGATGACAATTTCCATTTGATCCGTGGGCATCCCGCTCCCAAAGAACATGCATGAGTTGGGCGACATTGATGGTGGGTAGTGGGTCGTGAGAGGATGTAAAAATCTTGTCTAGGGCTGGTGTGGGTTTTGAAGTTTGCGAGATGCAATAAAAGTATATTACTCGTATTAGTATACTGTGGGTAGCACACAACAAAGATGCACTTGGAAAGATTTCTCACTTTTCATACCTAACCACATCCAGTTGATTTACTTGTCTAAAGCTGACAAAACATTAATTTTTAAAGAAAAATTATCTAAAGCTGACTGGCACATGAACTCCTGATGCCCCAGATCTAATATTTGGTCACACTAAAGTAAACTTTCTGTTCAACAATATATATAAAACTGAAAATGGCCACTTTTCTAAATAGGAAAACCACTTTTCTGGGTTGGGTTCGATCCAAAGTTATTGTTTGCATGCTGTGTGAACTGTGAATCGACCATTTCACTCGGGGAAATCCCTTGTAGTCCCCCAAGAGCAACTATTATCCGGGAGACAAGTCTTCCCAACCATAATGTCTGAGCTTGATCTCCTACATTTTGGCCTGTGAAAGCCTACTAGGGGGGCAAGGATTATTGAATTATTTTTGAGTGTCTAGTACGTTAAGATAAACATATGTAGAACTGCTTTCACTCTTTACCTCTTCACTCATTGACTTTCTAACATCAAATAGGATACGAGGGTACCTCGTTCTAAGTTATAACTGCATATTTAGTTAAACTTTCAGTCTTTCAAATAAGCAACACCTATCCTTGCCCCTTTGGTTTGAGCCGGTCAGCTATAGGTAACCTAGGCTAGTTTACTTCCTTGTGGTCATTTGCTGGCTAAGGTCACAAGGCGGGGTTTACTCACACTCAAAAGGGTTGTGGGGTTTCCCTCATCATCCAAAAAAAAAAAATTAGCAACACCTATCCATGGTATTACCGGGATTTGGATTTTTAATGGGAAATGAGAAATTGAATGTATGTTGATCATGTTAGATTAGCAAGTAGGGTTGAACTTAGCTTTCTTCCGACTACTATCACCTATCTGCATAATGAAACTTGATTGCCATTCACATAAGAATCTAAATCGTACTTATCTATGGTGGTCGTCTTGTCTTGTGGTATTTGTCATAGTTACAGAATTTCGTAAATCTATTGCCAAAAAATTTCAGTTTTGTTGCCTTTATTATTGAAGGAACTCAAGAGGAAGCAGCTGCAGCATATGATATGGCGGCAATTGAATTCAAAGGTCCCGGTGCAGTAACCAACTTCGACATCAGCAATTATGGAGACAAGTTGAAGGAGATTCGAGAGCGTGGCCAAACACGAAGAAATCTGGCTAATAATGCAGAGTCCTCAGCTGAAGTTCAATCCGGTGACCAACGCGACCCTAATCAGGAAATCGAAGATGGTGATGAGATGCAGCAGAATGAACGAGTAGAAGGACACTCGGTGACCTTTGACGAGGAGATTCAACCAGATGAGCTGCTACTTGATCCTTACCCAAAAAACGTAGAGTCTTTACAACCAGAAATCTTGAAACTGGAGGACCCCGGAAAAGAGCATGATGAGCACCCGTGGAACTTGTGCATGGGCGTTGGATTCGAGGCATTCCCAGTGTCCAACATTGACCTCGAGGTGAAGCCTCCGAGCCTCGATTTCTTCAACGATTCCAGCTTCGACGACGAGATTGATTTGGTGTTCGGGAAACGGGTAAGGGGAAGTGACGAATTCAAGCAGGACGATGTTTTTGGGAGCATGCTGATGGATGATGAATTTGAAGCTAAGGCTGTGGTGAAAGGGCAGGAAGTGACAGCTTCAGATTATTCTTCTTCTGTTTCAACATCAGTTTCAGTTTCCAGTGAAGTTGGAGGCTTGGCTTCTTCAAACTTGTTGAACTAAAGGGTGATTGATGGCTGGTTTTTGAACAGTTTTTTTGGTTGTTTTACTTGAAATATTTTGCCTTTCTTTTTGAAGTTTTGATTTCCTATATATATATAGATAGCCAGGGGAAGCTGGTTGGTGTGCTTTGTTAATTAAAAATAATTCAATATATTAAACTCCAAGGCGTCTCACACTCCCGCCCGACAAAATATTTGGAAGGATGTAAATCATGGTGACTCAATAGCTTAGCAAACAATGTCAAATACCGGTGCGTACAAGAATCTGTCTACTATGGACATAATTCTCACACTACCGCGACTGAGGTTCAAACATTGGTCTCTTCTCCCAAATATTGTCTACTGAGGCAATTTATATCCTGCACCAAGGTGCGCATTGCATTGTGCGCCCTGATGCAAAACGTCGTGGTTTCAGATTTCTTTTATTTTTATTTTTTGAAATTTCGCTACCCTGTGTTGGTGGTTAATTTTGTTTAAAAAAAAAATCTCAGATTCAAAAATGTACATAATTTTATACTAGAATACACATAATTGTATACATGAATGTACATTATTGTATAACAAAATACACATATTTTTTTTAAAAAAGATAATACATATAATCTAACATAATACATAATATACATAAACTTTTAACATAATAAACATCAACTCTTAACATAATATACATAAATTTCCTATTTCGGATGCACATAATTGTATAAAAAAGATGTACATAATTGTATAAAAAATGTACATAATTGTATAAACAAATACACATAATTGTATAAACAAATACACATAATTTATAAACACATACACATAATCGCGTCAACTCCCTACATAACTTACCAAAACGACGTCGTTTTGGGAGACGCGGAGCGCACTGTGCTATGCGCGCCGTGGTGCAGGGTATAACGATTGGTCTACTGAACCAGTGAGTTAAGCTGGTCCCGTCATATATTATATTTTCTTTTCTAATATCTCGCAGTTCTGAATAATCTATATTCGTACTACGACATCAATTTTTTACTAGTTGTTTTATTTAGAGTAAAAGACATTTTTGGTCCTAGAATTATAGTGGCACGAACAATTTTAGTCCTCCTTAAAAAAATCAGACAATTTGTGGACACTCTTATTGTGACGAGGACAATTTTAGTCCTCCGTCAATATTCTCGTTAGATGTCCCGTTTGAGGGGGGTAATTGCGCCTTTTCAACAATAGACCTCTTTCTCCTTCACCAGAAAAGCGCGACGGCGGCCTCCACTCTGCAACTCCAACATCCTCCTCTGCCCATGTAAATCGAACATCAACCCAGAGAACAATATTTGAACATAAAAAAAAAAAAAATTGAGAGTGGTGGAAGTGTATGAGTTACTAAAAGTTGGGCATAAACATGTGAACCACCAACCCACTTCAAGAATTAGTTGTTCCGTGCGATTGATTCTGTTCCTCCCGCCGCTCCTTCTTCCTTGCTTTCTTGGGGTGCTTCTCCTGCCTCGGGGCCATCAGGTCGAGCCGACTATCAATGCAAGACGCGCATTTGGTCTCCAGCCAGGTCTCGAAATCGTAGTGGGCGCAACCCATGATTTGGCTCCCGGAACACAACCTGCCGATCATGACCGCTATTACCCCCAGAACAGTTATCACCGCAAGAACCCCAATCACGGGTCCGAGTGCTACTGAGATATCAACACCATAGACATCTGGAAAACCCTACCCGAAATCCTAAACCTTGAAAGAATTTGTTAAAAGGATATCCATTTTCCTTCAATTTCCACTCTATTTTTCGCTAATACCTTCACACAATCTGCTTCCTCTGTAAATTTAATGAGAACATTTCTTGAATCAAGAGATCCGATGTGTGCCTTGCCAGTAATTGGAAGGATTTTTGAAATTGAGCCCTAATTGCTTCAATTGGGGGTTTCTCCTTCAAAAACTTGCCAATCAAGATTAGTTTCCTCTATTTTTCTGCTAAATTTTCCCAATCTGATTCCTTAATTGAGACAATAGGCTTGCCTTCGTGTTTCTTTTGCGTAGCTGAACCGAGATTATCAGAAATTGTACCTTGATTTTCATTCGCAGGCAATCGCTGCTCCGATCCAGCTTCACGATTCTGATTTCGCACAGTGTCTGTTTCGCTATTCTACGCCGTCTCTGCTTAGAGCATAGAGATTCAACCCGACAGCATAAGAAAATTGTTGAATTAAACACAAAGGAAATTGTTTAGACCACAAACTTCATCTCTCTTTTGATCTAATTGTAACACCCCTAATTTTTAAAATAATTAAAGTTTATATAAATAACGCAACTAACATTAATTATCCCAAACAGAGCATAAAACTACCCAAAAGAGTCGGGGTGCTATGCCACACTTAGGTTTGAGAACCTAGATGCACATGCTAAACTAACCAATGCATAATTGATTCGTAAGTCAATATTCAAATACGACCCAAGGCGCGCAGGCCATCTACTATGCTAGAGCCAACTAAGCTAAGTCAAAGGTTGTGACTAGCGCGCTCCGCAGCTAATGCTCATCACCTGAAAAACACTCGATGTAACAATCGTCAGCGAATAATGCTGGTAACCAACTCCAACGCGTTAAGTACAATATAGGTAGATATAAGAAATCATTTTGAAACTGGAATACATATATACTTACGAGACACTAATTTAAATCCAAGATCAAGACTCAAGACACAACAACAGACTCAACAGTATAGAATAATCATAAAGACTAACATGCGTCCTAAGAACACGTTGCAAGACATAACAGACATATAAATAGCAAATAGAGACAACAAAGGCATTCAAGACAATCAGTTAGCAAGTAGTCAGCAAAGCACACAATCCATCTTCCAACCTTATACCAAGTTCCAACCTTGTAGCTCCCCTATGTCCTTATATCAGTTCCAACCTATACCTCCAGGCCACCCATATATCACCTCCTCGTATTCCTCCGGGCAACTACATGCCCCCACCGACAAACCAACTATCAACCACCAACATATCAAGATGGTGCTGCAGTGCCATTCGCATGATCCGCACCTCTAGTGCCAATATCAAGGGGTCACCGCATATAGCCCTGACATGACACCGCAGCACTTATAACCTGACCAATGCTCAACGGCAAGCTAGTCGAAGGTGGATTTGTGCCTTTAGCACAGTAACCGCTAGGGCCTGTACCTTTAGTGCAATGACCGGGCACAAGTGGTGCTAACCGCCAACAATTCATTTCCACCAATCACAATCTCATCATCATCAGTCACACTGGCCATTGCGCAATGACCACGATACTCATCATCATTTAATCAAGCAACACATAATCAATCAATCAACAATCAAGACATAACAACAATGATACATACTACACATAAATTCCTAGAACAATACCCAAAACACCAAACGAGACTCATTGTAACACCCCTAAATTTCAAGGTATTTAAAACTTATAAAATAAAGGTGAATTCATTGATTAAATCCCAATTAGAGCATGAAACTATCCATAAGAGTCGGGGTGCTATGCCACACCTAGGTTTGAGAACCTAGATGCACAGGCTAACCTAACTAAACATAAGAAATCCTCAAATCAATATTCAATACAATCCCAAGGCACGCAGGCCACTACTAACTAAGCTAAGTCCAAGGCTCTGACTAGCGCGCTCCGAAGCTAAAGCTCATCACCTGAAAAATATTCGGTATAACAACCGTCAGCGAATAATGCTGGTAACCCACTCCAACACGTTAAGTACAATATTCGTAGACATAAGAAACTCATTTTGAAACTGGAATACATATATACTTACGAGACTCTAGTTTAAATCCAAGATTAAGACTCAAGGCATATAACAGACTCAATAGCATAGAATAATCATAATAACTCATAGACATCCTAACCATGCAATGCAAGACATAACAGACGGATAAGCATGAGAATAAATAAGGCATTCGTTACAATCAATTAGCAAGTAGTCAACAAAGCACACAATTCATCCTCCACCCTTATACCAAGTTCCAACCGTATAACTCCCCTCCATCCTTATATTAGTTCCAACCTATACCTCCAGGCCACCCTTATATCCCCACCCCTTATGCCTCCAGGAAACTACATGCCCCCACCGGTGAACCCACCTTTCAACCACCAACATATCAAGATGGTGCCGCAGTGCCATTCAATGTATTATCCGCACCTCTAGTGCCAGTACCAAGGGGTTAGCGCATATAGCTCTAACATGACACCGCAACACTTATAACCTGACCCAATACTCAACGGCAAGCTAGTCGAAGGTGGGTGTGTGTCTTTAGCACAGTCACCGCTATGGCCTGTACCTTTAGTACAATGACCGGGCACAAGTGGTGCCAACCACCAACAGTTTATTTTCCACCAATCACAATCTCATCAATATCATCATCAGTTACACTGGCCATTGCGCAATGACCACGATACTCATCATCATCAACCAATCAACACATAATCACATAACAAGCAAGACACACAACAATGACACGTAATACACATAAAATCCTAGAATGATGCCTAAAATACCAAACGAGACTCATACATGACAAACGGGGTACAACGGGACACCGGAAAACATCAAACGGGAAAGAACACCACGAACACGCCGAGATTCCAGCGGGTAGGTGGTGGGTGGAGGACCACCCGCCGGCAGCGGGTTACTATTCCAGCGGGTGGCCGGCGGGCAGACCACCGCCCGTCGGTTGCCCGCTGGAACAGTAGATGCGGGCAGCGGGTATGTGGCGGGTGGTCAGTCCCCCCACCTACCCCCCACTGATACACAGGCAACTTTATGGTCCCGAGATCCCCTGTGGAACCCGAAACCATGTCCAAACACATTCAAACACATAACGACAATACCACGTATTCAACTAACGGGATTAAACCAATAATCACAACCAATGCGTTCAAACACGATTCCTAAACATGCCAGGACCTAACATTAATCACATACGGTTCAGGAGCATCCGGAACCACAAGAACAAAAAGAACAAAAACACAATTACATCCGAAACCACAACCACAACCATTCTTCGAGGATTGTGGGATTTTCATCCCCCGAGAAGGTA